AATAGCACATATATAAATGCTATTTGCTATTAATTATCGAATAGCACATATATAAATGCTATTTGCTATTAATTATCAAATAGCACATATATATGTGCTATTTTTATTTAATATTGAATAGCACATATATATGTGCTATTTTTATTTAATATCGAATAGCACATATATATGTGCTATTTGCAATTAAATAAGAATCGCACATATATGTGTGCTATTTGCAATTAAATAAGAATCGCATATATATATGTGCGGCTCTTATATAATAGTGAACAGCACATATATATGTGTTTCGCTATTAGCACATATATATGCTCTTTCTACTGTTAGCACATATATAAGTACTTTACTATTAGCACATATATATATGCGATTCTTATTTAATGGCGAACAGCACATATATATATGCTTCGCTATTAGCACATATATATGTGCTATCTGTAATTAAATAAGAATCGCACATATATATGTGCTTTCCGTTATTAGATAAGAATCGCACATATATATGTGCTATTTGCCATTATTATATTTAGTGTGTAGCACTTAAAGTAAAATACTTTTATTTATGTAAAATAGTTTTTTTTTATTTATTATCAACACTTTTTTTATTTATTTATTAACACAATGCACAAAACTATGTCTACACAAGCAGCAAACTTGATGAAAAAGGCACCAAAAGATGATGAAAAGGCACAAAAGAACAACAAAAAAAGCATCGAAAAAAAGACAAAAAAGGCACCAAAAGAATGACGAAATAAGCACAAAAGTATGATGAAATAAACACTGAAAGAACAACAAAAAAGGCACCAAAAAATGACAAGATAAGCATCGAAGAACAATGAAAGAAGCACAAAAGAGCAATGAAAGAAGCACTAAAAGAACGACAAAAGAAGCACCGAAAAACTGATAAATGAAGCACCGAAAGAGGGATGAAAGAAGCATCAAAAGAACCAAAAGAAATGATAAAAGCACTGAAAAAATAACAAAAGCACTGAAAAAACAACGAAAGCACTGAAAAAAACAATGAAAGCACTGAAAAAATGATAAAAGAAGCACCAAAAGAAGTACTGAAAAAATAATGAAAGAAGTACTGAAAAAGCGATGAAAGAAGCACCAAAAGAAGCAACAAAAAAAGCACTGAAAAAAACAATAAAAGAATCACTAAAAGAAATGATAAAAGAAGCACTGTAAAAATGATGAAAGCACCAAAAGAAGACGAAAGAAAGAATCATACTGAAAAATTTTTTTTGTTTATCTTAAACATGATTGGCTGCTTAGAATATTCTAGATGGTAGATTTGGACAGGAAATCAGAAATCAGCTTCTGGAGTTAGGCTAACAGAGATCTATAATGATCTGCAGCTTGGGATTTTCTTGATATAAGGAAATTCATAATAGATCATCATTGTTATTGCAGTCCAGGAATATTCTATAAATGGGGGTCGTCTAAAGCTATGTCCATCACGTGACCCAAAGCTAATAGAATTGTTTATTTTAATCACACAGATCAGCCCGAAGAGACAATAACAGTGAAAAAAAGTAAAAATCGCAAAAAATACAAGAAACGATAGTCTAAACCCATCTTGATATATTAATAAAAAATGTTAGAAAAACAATTTTACTATAAGACATGCTTTGACCCTAACCCCAAACTAACACTTATCCTAACTTTAATTAAAAACAAAAAACACGTGACTAGACATGGCTTTAGATGTTCCCCATAAATGAACATTGAAGATCACAGCTTATATGATATAAGGATGTTGATCAGAAGGTTCTAGATTTAATAGCACATGAACATCAACCAATTAAATCAATTAAAAACTTATATAGAAATGAATATATTTCATTATTAGCGAAGCTATTAACAAAGCTTTACTTATTAAATATTTTAAATAACTATTTTTTATTTTATTGCTATCATTTTTTACTAACTATATATTACAATATTTAATTTATTTTATTAAGAAATATCACCTGTATATACAGCATTGCTTAAAAACACAACCCGTATATATATTGATTTGTAATTTAATTTCTCTTAAATACTTTGAGTATTCTTTTTATGAATTATATTAATATCTATAAAGCAATAATTAAATTAAATAATGAAAGTTAATATAATAATCTTTTAAATCTTCGTTTAAATATAAAAACAAACTTTTGAAATTGTCTTAATTTAACTGAAGACGATTTTAACTTTCTATATAAAGTAAATACCTGATTTTAGTGTCTTATTTACTTTAGTCAAGAAAGTTTACTGTACAGGATTTTTGAGATGTTTTTAAAACTAGATGTCCTGAACTATGTATTCAAAGATTTTTAGATTTTACTAACTATTAAAAAAAATTTTTTTCAAGATGTATAACGTTTAGGGGATAAAAAACATGTGAAAGCCAATCACATTCAAGAATTTACTTGTAAATCATTCTAGAATGTGATTTCCTTATTTAGTATATTTCCAGACTATATTGTTATACCAAATTTTAAATATAATTTTCATTAATATAGAAGCCTTGTTATAGTTGATTTCATCAACAATCACTTCACTGACAGCTTATTTAGCTGATATCATTTCAGGTAAAATTAAGCAAAAATATATACCTATAGGGCTATGCAAATAAAATTAATTGATTCTTGTCACATAGAACAAACAAGTAGAACCCAGCTGGCCAGCAAAAATTGTTATATTTTAATATAAAAAATTTTATAAATTTTTTTTCATATAAGAATAAAAAAAATTTATATAGAAAAAATTTTTAACTTCTCTAAAAAAGTAACCCAGCCGGGTGACAAAAATCACTTTTATTAGTTTGTGTAGCCTAACTCATCAAATGTTAAACCCTAACCCTATGTGATATCAGAGAAATGAGCATTCAATAAAATAACAGTTGGTGAATCGACCGGAACCCTCAGAATACATGGTGTTTAAATTATTATTATTATAGATGATTTACAGTAAAAGGCATAAATGCCATGTGTTTAAATTTTTTGGTTGCCAAAAATATTGCAGAATTCCAATATTGCCTATATTATTATAGATTGCTAATATTTTATAGATTGCTAATATGAATATAAATATAGAATTACATGTAAAAATAATGGTAAGGCAGTCCGATAACATCTAGTGACATACTCCTGGGGATACCTATTTATTTCCTGAGGGAAAATAAATAATACTAATAAACTGGCAGCATTTTATAGAGCTGGTACCTTAGATATTACTTCAACATGAAATGGTATAGTTAGTATAGCAATTTATAATATTTATAATGAAAATTTAACTGCTAAGACGACCCCAATTTAATTTGGTGGTTTAAATTACCCCCTCTCCTTTTACCTCCCCCTTCTTTTACCTCCCTCCTCCTTTATAGTAAAGGTTTTTGAATTTTAAGTATACTTCTGATAATAATGCGAAAAAATGAATAAAAAATTATGTACTTACTGCAGATCTAATGTATAACTTCATAATAACTATACAGTATTTGAAAATTAAGTTATGTAACATTGACGTTAAAATCAATATTTCAAATAGACTTCTATATTTAGTTAATTATTAATGCATATATTTAATTTTTAAAGAATTTCACAATTAAATTACACTTGTCTGAATTATCGATACTGTGTACTGTAATATGTTTTATATTTATATAATAATCAAAGATCCTCCTAAGGTATTTTATGAAAGAGCTGTAAATATAGCTCATATAATAGATACCGGAACTTTTGAAGATTTACTTTTAGAGGTGGTTAGCAACCAATTTTTGGATAAACATGTTCATGTTTTTGGTTATGAGAAAAAAAATGATAAATGGATACTGCTGCAAAATGGGTTAACTGATTATTTGCAAGTGTTAGCTCAATTAAACTTTAAAATAGTCAGATTTCTATTTGAATCTTCTAAAATACTAGAAATTGAATCACCTATTAAAGATGCAAATTCAGTATTGATGAATAATGTCAGGCAACTTCGCTTTCCTAAAAAATTAATATGAGAAAATAACTATGATTATTTATATAATGAGCTTATTGACATTTTTGAAGAAAAGGGTATAGGATGGTTAAATAGAATGCAGGATACAAGAGGCAAAATATTTATAGAGAGACTAACAAATGCTATATGGTATATTGATCCACATATCAAACTGCTTCAAAATCGTGCATGACATATGCCCCTTTATTTCAGTCAGGGATTTTACCATATTTGGTTATCGACGATTGCACCTTATTTAGTACTGATCGTTGGTCGGAATATTCTAGCCTTTTTTTCAGATTGTTCTGCATATTACAATGATTGACCAATCAAATCACAGAAGTTATAATACTATATAAGGTACGAACCTTATAAAAAATCTTAATAAAAAAATTATTATTAAAGCTTACAATACCAAGCTTACAACGCCAAGCTTACAACACCAAGCTTAAGACGCCCAAGCTTAAGACGCCCAAGCTTATAACGCCAAGCTATAATGCAGTAATGCACGTTTCAAAGTTGAAATTCAGTGAAGGTACGTTGTTAGATTACAAGAGTAAAGGAGAATCTAAATTGTAGTTTCTTATT